TACAAACTTGGTGGAGCAAAACCAGATTCTGCTTCACTGAAATGATGGACAGCGAACAATGAAGGAGCCAGAGTCAAACTCTAAGGCAACTGAGGGAGGACTGGGACAAGGTCCAGGAGAGTCAGGTGCTGGCTTTCTTTTCCACGGCCCAGCGTTGCCATGTGATATGGCAGCCAGGAAGAAAAGGAAACTGGGCCGGAGGATTTGAGCACAAGGAGGATTGAGGTTTAATAGGATCTTATTGGGCTCTAAGTCGAGGTTGTCTGAGGTAGTTTGACCCAGAATGAATTCCCCTCACTGCTATTACTTATAATTGAGGGCACAAGGTCCCCCTCTTTCAGGAATTCCCAATATTTGAAGCGTCTTCACCCTTAGATGCCATTTTTCATGATAAGCACTTTTACAGTAATAGACTTTTTATGTGTTTAGTAGCAGCCAATTTGGGGCATTACAGAGTGCATTCTATAACAATGAGATTTCAAACTGGCAGTTGTTCAAGAAGCAAATTGACCAGCCATGAATTTGGTTTGTTTGTTTGTTTGTATGTTTGAGATGGTTGATTCCTGTGCTTTGGGTTCCTTAAGTAAAATATGCTTCAATAGAAAACAAAGAGCAACAGATAGAATTCCATTTACAACTAGAATTTTTACAAAGATTTTTCTACAATGGTCAACATACTTCTTTAATGATTTATCTAATCACCTCTTAGGAAGAGGTGATTAGTATCGCAGTTATAATAAAGTACATAAAATAATGACTTTTGAGCTGAGAGAGACCTAAGACATAATCATTTAATCCTAACTACTCACCTAGGTGACGTCCCAAACTGAGAGCCGCATTTTTAACTTCAGGAACCAGAGTCCTGGAGCGTTTTTTTCCCATTCAAAGCTCAAGTCTCTAAGAGAAGAGACTTTTCTGACTTCCATAGTTGGAAAACCAGGCTAAAAACTCTTAGCCTTTCTGCTTTGTCCTGCACTTTAAATCCACCTGCACTCTGTAACCATTTCCACAGGCCAACCAGAGAAATCTCAGGTGGAAGAAGAAGGAAAGGTGGAAAGGGAGCCCGCCATGTCTTCCCGTCAAGGTCAAGCCGTCCCATTTGCTCACTCACTGTGGAAAAAGTCTCGGCCCCGCTTCCCATTCCTCTCAGCCCGCTCCACCTGTGTGCTGCACTTCACATTTCTTCCCTTGGAACACCATCAAATCCTTATTTTAAAAAAAGCTTCAAACTCCCATGTTACTGCTGCCTTCCCATTAGGCCTGCAGTCCTCAACAAACTTTTTCCTCAACAAACATGTTCTCTTTGCTTTGTCTCCCCTTAAGGCGGCCGTGCAATTCTGTCCCTTAAGGAACATTTGATAATTTGTTCTTGGAGGATATTACATTGAAACAGATAAACTAATTGAAAGATGGTGTGAGATAATATAGAATTAAATGCCAAAATGTTTACATTGTAAGTTCAGTCTGACAGTGAAAGAGAGATAGTACATTAAAATACAGTCATTCAAGAAAAAATGTATTTTTGACACATTTAAGGCTAATACTTTAAGTATTGTAGTGTTTGAAAGAGACTAAAATTAGATATTTGTTTATTTGGGAGTGAGGTCAAAGGAAGCTTTACACTGGGAAGGGGTGTGATCTGGGTGATGAGAAGCTCGGCTTTTACGACCATCTGGTGTATTTTATAGTTCGGCGACGCGGAGCATATGCTTATGCTTTTCTCACAGTGAAATGAGAGCTATCACACACTTGCCAAAAAGGGCAAATAGAAGTTCACGCACTTTTTACACCAGTTATCACTGTCTCCAACAATAGAATTTTTCTTTCCTAATTGATGGAAAATGTTTTTATGTATAATAGTGTCCTGTATAAATTGACTACCAATAATATCTTTGTAAATAATATAGTCAGTTCTCTTTGTAAATAATGCAGGCAGTTCTGTCTTTTCAGTATAGAATTTGTGCTGATATAGTAGGCTATTACATATCTATTTTGATAACTCCCCCCTTGCAGCCCCCACTCCCATGCCGGAAAATTCAACAACCACACCACAAAACCACATGCAATCACTGTTGGAAAAACAGCCCTTTGGGTATCTTTTGGTGTTGGTGGTTTGTTTGTTTGAAGAAAGAAGAAAAATTACTTGTTAGGGCCCGGGTGGCTTATAGAGCTCTCTCTCTTGGGCCTGAAATTGGAGTCGAAGTGCTTGTGTGTGTTTACGGGAAGGGCAGGCTGAATATGGGCCGAGAACGGCCAACATTCCCAGCTTCAGATGCCTGAGGCTGAAGAGGGAGCAGGACAGCAGAGGGGACGTGTCCAGTAATGCCATTCTCCTGACACAGCACACGTCCTGGTGACTGTGGCGTCGTTCACTCACTCACTCACAGCTTTTTGCTTAGTTTTGTCTTTCTCTGTTCTTCACTTGGGACTGGTAGCTGTGATCTGAGAGTTAAAGAAAAAATTTGGAATTGAAAAAAGCCAGAAAAGGAAAAAGTAAAGCTTACTAACAGGCAGAAAGATAATGGAAGTCCTGGTACTTAAGGAAATGCATCCTTCGACTCCCTCATAAACGTGGGCTGTCTCTTCCTTTCAGGTTTATGTGGCCCTGGGGACATGCCTGTGCTTTAACACCCTAACTTGGGAATAAGAGGAACAGTGGAACTATTCAGCTCTCTGGTCTCTGTGTGAGCTAGGTTGTATTCGCATTTCTAGGATCTTCTGGCATAGTGTTCTGTTCTCCGATGTGGCCTGCCTGACTTGCCTGACACACCTCCTTTCTCCACCAGATTTTCTCCAGGTTATGGTGGTTTCTGTACTCATGACACATTTAGATTCTTCAGGCATCTGCCTCGAACGTCTGATCGGATAAGTATCAGCCGAGTGCGATGCACTTTTCTCAGAGACGGTTCAGAGACATTCCGGGAATACAGTCAAGGATTCCAGCCAGGAGAAAGGAGAGTATAGTTTTCTAGAAAGAACACTGGACTGGGAATCAAGAGACTTACATTCTATTTCCATCAAAATCAACTAGTAAATTCATGGCTTAAGCTAAGAAATGTATCTTGTCTGTAAAGCAGTCTCCCTGCCCAACAGGCTGCATGAAAAGTCCCTTTGAGAACTAACTTTGAGGATCTCAGAGCGCGGGTGTCTATTTTGATGTACAGGTGGTTGGCAGGCCGTGTGTTCCTGTAAAGCTTTAAAGAAGAATCTGAGAATCTTGGAGCTTGAAGGAATCTAGGAGTGTTCTACTTTTTCAACCTCTAGGGTAAACCAAAATACTCTTTTTTAAAAAATATTTATTTATTTCTTTAGAGAGGGTAGAAGGGAGGAAGAATGAGAGGGAAAGAAACATCGACTGGCTGCCTTCTGTATGTGCCCAGACCAGGGATCAAACGCACAATCTTTTGGCTTGCAGGATGATGCCCAACCAACTAATCCACACCGGCCAGGACTAAACCAAAACATTCTGATTTTCCTTGTTCATATCATTACATCATCTGAATGAAAGATGTCCATCACCTGGACATTTGTCACAGAAGTATTATTTTTAGGGCAACAAGGCAGTTGAAAACAACAACTTTGTGTTACTAGAAATTATACACTGGGGAATTTACCAGTTTAAATAGTAAAATGCAGTCACGGAAGATACAGCTGTGTCCTTCGGGCACGTCATGTGTGAGTTGTCCTCCTAACAGGCCTTCTGCTTTTTATATACTTTAGTCCCCTTTCAGTCTCCTTAAAAATGTTTCGTTCTTTGGAATAATTAATTCTTGCAAGTTTTCTGTCCATATGTCCTAACATTTTTTAAAGACCCTTTCATGGTAAATGGCTGGCCTCCCCCCTTCCCCCCAGCAGAAGCACTTGTTTGGAAAGTTCCCAAACTATTTTCCATTGTCTAGTTCCACTCCTGGCAGAGAACTTGACCCTTAAGTAGAACCTGAGTCATCACCTTGAGCTTTCTTTCTTACACTTTATTGTTTAGTTCTTTACCAGCATTCTCCTTGTAGTGCCCTTCATATCCATCCGTTGAAAATAGTCATTTTTGCTTTTCTTTTGGTGCTGCAAGGCTGGAATTTTTATCATGGATTTTGTTTTCCAGGGCTTTGATAATTACAGTGTAATTACTTTGCTCTGATTTCTCTCCAGAGTGTGCCCTAATAAAATTGTATTTTGAATGGTGCCCAGTGCGTTAATGGTAAGATAACTGCAGCCTCCTAGTTCTCTTGTCAAGAGTGAGCACCGTGTGGCTGGATCATATCCACCGTTCACTGCGTGACCTCTGTATTTTTTCTCCCTGCTGGGAGTCTTTTGTAGTCCGGCTTTCTTCATGTTTTATCCACATAGTTCATTTTTCATTTGTAAGTGTGCACTATCTTGTTTTTGATGGATCATTTCTGTTTCTGATTTGTGAGGGTTACTTGGAATTCTATTATTTTTAGAAAATCTAGAAACCTTTTCTCAGTTTGTATCCACACCATGACTGAGAATGCTTTCAGTTCCATTGTGACAGCCTTTGAATAAAAAAAAAAAAAAACAAAAAACCTCAATAATATTGGACCCAGGAGTCTGGGTGTTGTTTTATAATGACCCCAAGTTTCATCAAGTCTTTTATTTCTGTCACCATTAACTAATGATTATCCTGTTTCTGGATATTTTTAAGCTCCACAGACATTGGCATCGTAGTTTCTTGCTTGATTATAGAAACTAGATTTGAGTGATTTAGAATTATAACCTAGGGGGTTGTGGTTGGTGGTAGTGGAGAGAATAAACCTTATTTGCTTAATTTATGCATGTAGCTTTGGTAGCATTATTTGTTTATGTTTTTAGTAGCAAGGTCAGAGAAAATAGGGAAGCCTTTAGATTGAGTAGAAATGTCTATTTTGCATTTATTTTGTTGCATGTTGGATTTTGAAAATGTCTGTGCCTTGAGTTAAATATAGCAGTCAGCCTCCTATTCAATATGCGAACATAATGAGATGTGTTTTTTGTTGTCATTACAGGTTTTGGAAGGTGACGATGAAGTGCGAAGAAGTTACATTTCTAATGTGATACTTGAAAGTTAGTGACTGCTTACAAAATTTTCGTGAAAATTAAATATGACTTAAAAGCATTGATTTATGAAGTTTTATGATGTCATCGGTTGCAACTGAAAGCAAACTCCAACAGGCTGTGAGCCTGCAGGGTGTCGACCCGGAAACATGCATGATTGTATTTAAGAACCACTGGGCGCAGGTAAGGTATGAGTTCCTCCTCCTCTGCTGGCCTAGAGGCCGCCATCGCACTGAACCAGGGTCTCCTACCTCTGTGGCAGGTAACCGGGCTTCCAGAAACAGAGGGAGGAAAACCCCTTCAGATAGGAAGAAAAGCAACTCTCTTCTTGCTTTCCTAGAAAAGGTATCTGGTTAAAAACCACGATTTTCACAAAAGCAATTGGGGAACACGTATGTTCCTCAGACGTTTTTAGAAGAACAGCAGTTGGCCTTCCAGTGAATTTGACATCACTTTCAATATACTTGGCCACGTGTGCCCCCCTTTCCTCCCTGCTGAGTTTTATCCGGATCGTTCACACTCTAAAGATACTAAAGCACACAGTTATTGGCTATTTACCAAGTGCTGTGCTGATTACTTCAAATGCCAAACTTCATTTAATCTTTTCCGCAAACCCACGAGGCAGTCAATATTAGCAGCCTCGTGTTACAGATGAAGGAATGGGAGGTTGAGTAACTTGCCTGAGATTGTAGAACTAGTGAGTTTTCAAGCATGTACTTGGATCTCGGACCCTTGTAGCCTCTGAGGACCCTTGACCTCTGTAGCCTACTGTTTTCCAGGCTGCTGGGCTGGTGTAATTCAAGGAAAGCAGGTGCCAGGTGGTATCTGAAGTCATCACAAAACTGGGTATTTAGAAGTTTTTTTGATTATTCATTTTGACTTCTTTGTGACTCTTTTCTGGTCTGCTTGTACAGAGAATGAAGGGTTGAATGTTCAGAAAATTTACCAGCTCACCCCTTCACTCAGGGAGTTTATGAGTAGTAAAATAAGTAAAACTGGCATTCTTCAGTACCTGTCCAACATTACACTCCCAGGTGAGCTGGTAAGTGGCTATTTATGTGACAGTTTTTTAATGACTACCCAGTTTCTTCTTGTGGCTGGAAACAGCACGTGGGTCAAAGCACTGAGCCTGTAAATCACAGCAATTATAGGAGACACAGTTTAGATCAAAAACAAAATCAGTTCTGCTTCCGGGTCATTTACACTGTGTAGCCTCTTGTCAGTGACCAGTGTAAAGCTTCCAAAAATTTTTATGCATTTCCAATTCTCTGACTTTTTACCCCTAGAATCTTAACGGGTTTTCTCTAGATGTCAAGAGCACATCTGCTTCAGCAAAGGGGAGAAAATAATTCAGGAGTTTTTCAGGTAGCAGAGTAATTAATTATCTTTGGCTCTGTCGTTTTATAAGGACTTTAAAGTGCTAGCTCTATGTAGAGTGATAACAGCCCAGGGATGTGTCCAACAGGCTATTACATGTGGAAAGAATATTTCAGAGGGCCTATTTCTATCTTTATTTTTCAGTGTTCGTGTTTATAATGTACATAATAGATCCATGTATTAGCGTGCATGTATTTTATTAATTTAATTATTTGTCCTCATTTTCTTTAACTTCTAAGTGTGCACAGTCAGACGTTTTATACTGAGGACTGTTCCAGCCACAGTCATTGCATTGGGCTGAAGAAGTCTATCATTCTAATGTGTATTCTTTGCTCTGGGCTCCATTTTGTTTGTTTGTGTGGAAAACCTTTGACTGTAATCATTCCTGCTGGGGTATCTCTGATGTGATTTGTTTAGTATTCTGTACCCCTTTTCAAAGGCCTGGTTTATCACCAACCTCTCGATTTCATGCAGATGAATCATTTGCCCTTTCACATACTGTCCTGGGCAAGCTTTCTCCAAAGCTGTTGGAGTGCTTTTAGGATGTCTTAATTCAGGATGGTGTAAAGTCTCCCACATCGGTGGTGAAGGGGTAAATATTGCCTCCAGGATATTATCCATTTCCGTATCCAGCACGAGTGACTTCAGCATTGGCAGACACTTTGGTTATCTGAACCACAGCACCCTCTGTGTGGGGGCAGGAAAATACTGAGTTGAGGGTAAGGAGAACTTTGTCAGAGAGAATGGTATTTAGTGAGTAAACACTTGTAAAGTGGGGACACTCTTGGTCTTGTTGTTTCAGCCATTTATTTAGCTTTGGTTAAGTTTCTTACCTTTTTAGCCTTGGCTTTTCCTTTTTTAACCAACCTGAAAAATGTCCTCAGTTTCTGTGTACTCCAAAGGCTCCTGAGGGCCATTCTGTTACCTTTACTGGTTGAAGAAATCCACGTGGCTATCAGTGTGGTTATTGTTCAGATTTACTGAGTCCACACCTCAGATATGTTTCTGTGGGCCTCACAGATGGGCCACAGGAATGTGTAAGCCTTGCTCTGGGCCTTTAAAGAATGTAGGAGTCAATTTGGATGCCAGCGTGGGATACCTGACGATAAAATGAATACTAATGATCGCAGGCGTTAAATCAGGGGAAAGGACTATTATGGGTGGAAATGACCTGGGGAATGGAGGCACTTAGATTTTGCTGGCTGACTGAGGGAAAGGGAGGCACTGATGACAGAAACGTAAAGGGCATTTTAGAGAAGGGAGGTTAGAAACAAATGCTCAGCGTTGGCATTTTTTGGATGGTAAAAAAAAAAGTGAGGCAGTTGAAGCAAGGAAGAGATGTGGGACTGAGTGTGAGGTAAGAAATGAGACGGGAATAGATGCTATTTATTCACTGTTTTGGAGTTTCGCACATTAGCAGTTTTCGGAGTCCTTCAGGCAGGGGTGGATGAAGAGCAGCTGCAGGGGCCTGGAGATGAGCTCATCTGACAAAAAGTTCTCTGACTAGTGTGGCTGCAGCCCCTGGGCTCCCCTCAGGCAACCCCCGGAAAACCGGTGAGGCTGGTAAGAATATGGCTCTCATGTTATTTACAGGAGCGATCCATCAGCTGGCAAATGCAACACTTTTCATCTAGAGCGCTTCTGTTTGTTAGTACACTGCAGTACAAATTCAGCATAATTAGCATATATTTGACAGGGTCTGTTCTACTGTTTCCTAGTAGCTTCTTTTCAAGATCTTGCATTGCAAAGCACGCTTTGGTGGGGGCGGGTAGTATCTGCTTGTCCACCTACAACTTGCATTGTGTCAGGGACAACTAGTTACATAACCAACCATCTCACCCAAGGCAGGCTGTGATTCAGGGGGCTCTCCAGGGAAGAGTCCTTGAATGGCCCAGTGATGCACTTGAGTTTCCAGACTGTTCCCTGGGTTTAGGGATCTCACGACATCCCCAGATCTGTTCCACAGAGGACATTCAGGAATAGCTGCATTCGGATAGTGACTCTGGAGCATCCAGGCTGTGGGAAGTGGCCTCTAGCTTGCACTACCTCTCACCTGAGATGCCATCTTGCATCATGAGCTGACAGAGCAAGGAATGTAAAACCCAGATCTGTCTGGATCATTCCGTCAGTTGGACATTCCAGTGGCATCCTGGCTGCAGGCCAGATGGCACATGGGGTTCTTTACGTCCTGGCCTCTTTCACTTCTCATCTCTTACTTAGTCTGTGGAAATGCAAAAGGACTTGGAGTTCTCAGCCACCCCCACTCCTGGGCAGTGGCACCGTGCTGTGTCATGCCCCTCTGCCTTGGGCACTTCCTCTTCTTTCTGCCTGGACTATCCGTCCACCTAGTTAATGCCTCTCCTTCCCTAGGACTCATCTGGGGCATCGTTTCCTCCAGGGAGCCTTCCCCGCCCTCCTTTATGCTCCACTCCGCACTCTAACAGCCTCCCTCCGGAGCGTCTTTCACTGTAGAAGCACCTCAAGAGCAGAGACCATTTGTAGTTTAACCTACATCTTCAGTACAAGACTATTGTAGGCGTAGTGTAGATTTCAGTAGCTGTTGAACTGAAAGACAGACAGAATGAAATACAATTTTAGAAGAGCTAGGCCACTTAGAAAACAACTTTGAACATACACTAATATTAAAACATTGTTTGCTACCAGTAAGATCTTTGGACTTGTGTTTAATAATCAGTGATCTGGAGGAGTGTGTGTGAGTGTGTGTTTAATTTTTATAGTAGCCTATAAGAACAGTTTGTAGTCTGGTTGACACTTTTTTTAACATCTTGCCTTTGCTTCTTTGCTTCTGAATGGAAGAAAGAGCAAGAAGTAAGAAGCATTGGTCCACTAGATAATAAACTATTCAACTGTATTGCCATGTGAATCAACACCCCACCCCCACCCACTAGTTATTCTTAATGGCACAGCTGTACTTTGTGAAGCCTCCTGACTTTGCTGTACTCATTCTCTGACTCCTTTCAAGCATTGAATCAGTATTAGTTACATACTTAAAAGGTGTCTGCTCTTAGAGGTGGGAGAACTGGGATGATGGGTTATAAAGAAATCAAGCAGAAAAGCATATTTCTTTGTCTTCCTAGTTAGGTAATAGCCCAACCTTCTCCTTACCATCCTTTATCTGCAAAAATAAGCTGTTACACAATTTTTTAAGCTAAGAAAACAGAGCTCAAATAGAGTAATGGTGACAGATGAGAAAAGCTAATATGTTTATCAGCCTTTTTCCTCTTGGAAGTGGTCAGGGGAATATACAAAACAATCATCTAGATCAGTTAATTAAGTCAAACGTGTTCCTGCAATACTGGAATGAAGAACAGATAATGTGTTTTAAGTACAGTGTCTTGTGTATACAGCTTTGAGTAGCCTGACTCTACTAAAAACAGCGTGGAGAACTTACCGGCTTTGGGACGTGCATGTCCGTGTGTTCCCCGTGACGCGCAGTCTCCTGTTCTGTTCTTCTTCATTCTTTTAATTTGTACCTTGCCACAGAGTCAGTGACAGAGAGAAATTAAGTCAAGCCTTTGAGAGATGAAAAGTTGAGAAGTATTAGAGATGATTAATCATCATATCTTAGTAGAGTGATGTTTGCTAACATTTAAAGAATCTGTATCTTTTTTAGCTTTTCAAGTAGCTCTAAACTTGCCAGTAGGAAGTACCGCAGAGCAACAGCTGTACTTCTTCAGAGGGTCCAGGCGTCAGCTTGCGCTTCCGTTAGACTCTGCGGAGGTTGAGCACGTTGACATGTCAGCACCGTCCACTGTGTGCTTGGTGATGTCTGCCTTCCCTGCAGG